GTCATGCCAATGGTTCCACCGGTATAGATTACAAGAACAGTTTTCTTTGTAGAAATGTCCATGATGTTCGCAAATCTAAATAAAATATGATAAATTTGTACTGTCGAGATATATTGGCAATAATATGTATATCGTAACAATAGCTAATTCTATTAAATAGTAGGAGAATAAACGCAATGAATACACTTTATTTATTTCTATATGAAATTGTCATTATTAAATTCATCGTTTATTAGTGTTAAAACGATGTTAAAACGATAATGATCTCAGATTAAAATTTTGTATTAATATTGTAAATATCTATAACTTAAATTGTTGCTACTAGTCATTATAGACTCATATCTTATTTGTTTGTCTTATTTAGGAAGTGTTGCTCAGAATTCAAAAATAAATACTACAAGGACTTATGATATGACTCATTTCTAATACTTCATTACGTCATTTATAATGTTTTGCTTAACACATCAATAGCGCACTCTGCCGAGTGGCGATTTCAGTCTTGTTTTGCGACTTGGGGCGGTATCCAGTAAAGTTCTCTTTGTTAAGTCTTGTAAGTATTCTATTGTATCCTGTATACTTATCCGAATAAATATACCTTTCGAGATTTATATTTATTGTTTTAAGTCAGAAATTATACGGCGCCCCTTACACACTATAAATAGTGTCTTTTCAGTTATTTTACACGCCTCGCTGTTGAATTGCACTTCATTACTCTCGGCGGGGTCACTCTCTCGTTTTTGTCATCCACATCGCTGTTAAGTTCATTTTCGAAATAATAAAAATATAATAGAAGCGGATTTACAAAGCTTGAGGTAAGCGATGACGCTGTTACTATATCATTATTACAACATCGTACGATACGCAATTAACCAAATGCATTTGAATTATTGTCTTATTTAGTTAAACACTGTTAAGAGACACAACACTCTCGACCTCCCCTTTAGAAAATAAAAGTTAGTTTTATTGTTAAATAGTTTCATAGGGTCGTCAAAATCAATGTATATTTGGGTTGTAATGTAATGTTTGTCAAGTAACAGAAAAACGACGTTTTTTCCATTTTTTTTTTCTTCAATTTTTCGACAACTTCTTAAGATTCTTACATCGAAGATTTCGCACATTCGCTGAAAGGAAAGACTGTTTTTACGAAATTAGACCTGTCGACATTGTAAAAACGGCCCAACACATCATCCTTTGACCTTTGATTTATGCCGAAGGTGATGCAGAAAACATACTAATTGCGTCGATGACGAAATATTAGAAATGAGTCATTGTAATATCATGAGTCATTGTAGTATTTATTTTTGTCATTATTACAACATCGTACGATACGCAATTAACCAAATGCATTTGAATTATTGTCTTATTTAGTTAAACACTGTTAAGAGACACAACACTCTCGACCTCCCCTTTAGAAAATAAAAGTTAGTTTTATTGACAAAAAATGAAAAAGGAGGTATATATAACGTACAAAAAAAAAACAATGTTTGTAATGTCTCATTCTAGTTTTAACTCCTTCGAATAAATTCATCAAGCGAATAAAGAATACTCCGGATTTGCATGACGAAAGTTTGGCCAGAGAATATTTCAATGAAAATGAGTGAAGCGTAAATTTACTATTGACAATTTATAATACATATATTTCGTACAGTTCACGAGGAATATCTGCTAAAACCTGTGACCCTCAATGAATTCAAAGTGAATTCTAAGTTTCGAGTTTCAACCACTTGTAACATCTGATAAGGTAAGACACCTAAACAATTTTTTTTTCGATAAATTCATTTTTGATTTTTAACTTCAGTTAGAATTGTTAATGAAGAGAAATATAGACGGTCTCGTTCTAATTACATATGGATCTGGCAACATTCCCACAAATGACAAATTCATTCAAATCCTTAAGGATGCTGTAGAAAGTGGCATTATCATTGTAAATGTTAGCAAGTGTCATCATGGTTCTGTAAATCCCACTTACGAAACAGGAATGGTAACAACAATAAACAATTAAAAACTGTAAAGCACTTATTATATCAATGATGTTATAGATTTGCGAGGATATTGGTATTCTGCCAG